CAAGCTGAAAAGCTGCTGAATAATACTGAATAGAGCTTATATAGGAATGCGTCGTATTCCTATAGGTAGATGTGATCAGCTGAGAATCAGCTGATGCAAGCTTGACTCACGTGACCTGCCAGAACTAACGCTAATGCTTAATTTTTATCGTACTACAACAAGACACTTTTATTACACAAAAAAAGAGGTAAAAATGCAAAATAATGTTATATTTCAAACTGAATGTTACTTGTGGAGTCAAATACACAACTTAGCAAGGTGATACGTTTGAAGTGTTTATTTATGTATGATGTGTATTTTCTTTCTTTCTTTCTTTCTGCATACAAATTTTAAATAGTAGGCATAACAGTACCTTGTGAACATAATATGGAAATAAAAGGGAAATAATATAATTTAAAAAAATATACTGAAGTGCGAACTGAATGTAGTTTTTGGACACTTAATTGCATGTTAATTTCAATTAAATGAAAATGGGTCACACTTTATTTTAAGGTCCAATTTGCACTATTAACTAACTGCTAACTTTTGCCTCAATAAACTTGTGGTGTAGGTTTAAGGGGTCCAAAATATGGTCATGCAGAATAAGGCATTAATATGTGCTTAAAACACTAATAATAAGTACTAATAAACAGCCAATACTGTATGCTGGTAATATGCATGCTAGTTAATAATGAGAATTGGCCCTTAAAATAAAGTGCTACCTGAAAATGTAGTATAATCTAGATTTACATTAAATGCAATTAGCTGTTTTTTTTTACACTTAAGTTGGTCTAAAGTACACCTTTATATGAAATTTCATAATTACTTAAAGTGTACGGATGAATGTACTGAAAAAAAACTATACATTAACACACAATTAAAATTATACCAAGTACTTTACATGTGATTTAGTATGTTAGTCATCACATCTAAATAAGTGTACTTCTTTGAAGCATGACAAAAGATTATTAAAACAATGATTTAAAATATTTTAAAGTAAAAGCTAATTTAACATTACAAGGTGCACTATTTTAAAGTGAATACTTAAGTGAGTTAAGAAACAGTTATGCATGCGTACTCTCTTTAAGTACATACTGTATAAGTGTCTCTACTATTATATCTACTTCTAAGATTTGCAGTACACTACAGGTGTGCGCTTATTTTTCACAAGGGGTATCCTATGCAGTATACAGTGAGCAGTAAAATCCTATTCCAAACACACTAACTGAATTCAGATACTGAGATGCACACATGCAAAAAAGTACTGTCGTTGCACCATGGTACTTAGATGATATATAATGTTATTTATAAAATACTTCTAACAATTCAATGGTACCATAATAGCGTTTTGCTAGTTGAAAATGTGTGAAAACACTTTCATTACACATAATCAAGCAGTCTTGAGATTAATGTATAAAGTAAATGAGCTGTAAGGAAATGTTACAGTGAAGAAAGAGTGACATTTTCAAAAACATGCCACACAAAAGCACAGAATGGAAAAAAAAAAAGAAACTGTCATCCCATAACCACAGAAGAAATAACATCACCAGTGCAGTATTAGCAAACATGGCACTCAAGCACCGCATCAAAGACACCGACACATGCAATGAATCACCAGACTGACACACAACATAGTAGCCACCAGTCACAATGAAAGCAGAGACATCAGGCCCTAATTACAGTGTCATTCTAGCTCAAACACTCTGAAAATATGGACTTTATGTTTTACATTACAGAATTGGAATATGAATGGTAATGACAGTGACGTTGAGTTATTTGCCAGGGTAAATGGAGGGGAATATTTAGATGTAATGCCTGTCAGGAGACACATTCATTACCAACAGGAAC